TTGCAAGTTAATGCATCTTCTTTCAATCCTGATGCTGCATTCTTCTTCATATAGTCCAGTTTCTTGGATTATTTGCTCAGCATACAAATTGAATAAGCATGGTCAAAGGATACAAATCTGACGCACACCTTTCCTGATTTTAAAACACGCAGTATTCCCTTATGTTCAAACGCGTGCTTCTTTGTCTATGTACAGGTTTTGCGTGAGCACACTTAAGTGTTCTGGAATTCCCATTCTTCGCAATGTTATCCATAATTTGTTATGATCCACACAGTCGAACGTCTTTGCATAGTCAATAAAACATAGGTAAACATCTTTCTGGTATTCTCTGCTTTCAGCCAAGATCCATCTGACATCAGCAATGATATCCCCAGTTCCACATTCTCTTCTGAATCCAGCTTGAATTTCTGGCAGTTCCTGTCAGTGTACTGCTGAAACCGCTTTGCTTTTGAATTATCTTCATCAAAACTTCATTTGCGTATGATATTGTTCGATAATCTCCATACTGTATTGGATCGCCTTTCTTTGGACTGGGCACAAGTATGGATCTCTTCCAGTCAGCTGGCCAGGTAGCTGTCTTCCAAATTTCTTGGTATAGACGAGTGAGCACTTCCAGCATTGCGTCTGTTTGTTGGTATTTTGTCAATTTCTGGAGCCTTGTTTTTCGTCAATGCCTTCAGCCAAGCCTGGACTTCTTCCCTCAGTACCATTGGTTCCTGATCATATGCTACCTCCTGAAATGGGTGAACGTTGACCAATTCTTTTTGATACAGTCATTCTGTGTATTCCTTCCATCTTCTTTTGATGCTTCTTGCATCATTCAATATGTTGCCCGTAGAATCCTTCACTACTGCAACTCAAAGCTTGAATTTTTCTCTTCAGTTCTTTCAGCTTGAGAAATGCCAAGTGTGTTCTTCCCTTTTGGTTTTCTAACTCCAAGTCTTTGTACATTTCAAGTCGCCCTTTGAAATCTTCTGTTCAGTTCTTCTACTTCATCAATTCTTCCATTCACTTTAGCTACTCCAACTTCAAGAGCAAGTTTCAGAGTCTCTTCTGACATCCATTTTGGTCTTTTATTTATTTCCTGTCTTTTTAACGACCTTTTGCTTTCTTCCTGTATGATGTCATTCTACAATTCATCTAGTTTTTGGTCATTAGTGTTCAATGTGTCAAATCAATTCTTGAGATGGTTTCCAAATTCAGGTGGGATATACTAAATGTCATATTTTGGCTCTCGTGGACTTGTCTAATTTTCTTCAGCTTCTACTTAAACTTGCACATCAGAAATTGACAGTCAGTTCCACAGTCAACCCCTGGCCTTGTTGTGACTGATGACATTGAGCTTTTCCATTGTCTTTTTCCACAGACGTAGTCGATTTGATTCCTGTGTTTTCCATCTGGTGAGCTCCACATGTATAGTCGTTTATGTTGCTGAAAAAAGGTATTTGCAATGAAGGGGTCATTGGCCTTGCAAAATTCTATCATATGATCTCTGGCGTCATTTCTATCACAAAGGCCATATTTTCCAACTACCTGTCATTCTTCATGGTTTCCAGCTTTTGCATTCCAATCACAGTAGTTATCCATGCACCTGGACTGCATGTTTGATCAACGTCAGACTGCAGAAGTTGGTAAAAATCTTCAATTTTCTCATCTTTGGCATTAATAGTTGGTACATAAATTTGAATAATTATTAACTGGTCTTCCTTGTAGACATATGGATATTATCCTATCACTGACAGCGTTGTCCTTCAGGATACATCTTGAAATGTTCCTTTTGATGATGAATGCGATGTCATTCCTCTTCAATTTGTCAATCCTGGCATAGCAGACCATATGATTGTCTGATTCCAAATGGCCAATACAAGTCCATTTCAGTTCACTAATACCTAGGATATTGATCTTTATGTGTTCCATTTCATTTTTGATGACTTCCAATTTTCCTAGATTCATACTTTATACATTCCACGTTATGATTATTAATGGATGTTTGCAGCTGTTTCTTCTCATTTTCATTCATGCCACGTCAGCAAATGAAGGTCCCAAAAGCTTGCCTCCATCCACTGTCATTAAAGTCAGCTCTACTTTGAGAAGGCAGCTCTTCCTCAGTCGTATTTTGAGTGTCTTCCAACCTGAGTGGCTCATCTTCTGGCACTATATCAGAAAATGTTCCGCTGTTATTCATAAGGTTTTCACTGGCCAATTTTTTCAGAAGTAGACTGCCAGGTCCTTCTTCCTAGTCTGTCTTAGTCTGAAACCTGTCCATCGTGGGTGGCCCTGCTGGTATTTGAAATACCAGTGGCATAGCTTCCAGCATCACAGCCACCACAATATAACAAATCAACAGATGTGTGGTGGAAAGATAATTTACAACCTCTGTTTTACATCTGTGCAGGAGCTGCAAAATTGAGGTGTTTGACCCTAGTAAAATGGCTAGTCTGGGTCTGAGTTCAGACTCCATCTTAACTAACAGTAGCCTCTGTGTAGATTTCGAAGTTTGTAACTAAGGAAATATTTTTCTTTGTGATTAAGACAAGGGTTGGGAAAGAATGTTCTTGTGAGGATCCTGATGCCATCAGCTTATCAGACATCTGCAAAGCCAATCACCCTCAGGAACTATATTGTTCCCCGAGCTATTTTAAACTTAATGTTCCTGAGAACGAATGCTTTGTAATCATCTTGTGACCACCCTAGACTGCCCCATAGTCACGTATTTCTGCAATTATTTTGTGTAACCAATCACAATCATCCACCTATGCCTATTGTAACAATCCCAGAGGAGCCCCACTTCAAGATATCCTGCCTCTTACCTCCCTGAATCATGGAGCACTAATCATAGATTGGTGTTAGTTCCTGATTTAACCATATCAATGTACCTTTTTTACCTCCCCATTTGGTTTCAGTTTCTGAGACCTAACGTATCTCCAGTTCAAACCTGTTTTGAACCTGTAATAAATCTCTGTTTCTATTTAACAGAGTACACATTCCTACTCTTTGACATATCGTTAGAAGGGTTTACATCCTGTGCTACCACCAATGGTGCCAACTGCACTACAAGAGGGGCAAGGTGGGCAAACCCTCACCTTTATCACTAACTGCCTGGCAAAGATCAATATGAATCCAATTCCCAGCCGGTAATGAATGCAGATTCTACTTTTGCACAAACCCATTCCTCGTCGGCAGCCACCTCTCCTGTGACACTTTCTCTCTATGACCCTAACAACCCAGAGCTAGGCCAGACTTCATCCCTGGCACGCTGAGCCAGGTCATCGGGTACCAGCTGTAGGCTCAGGAGTCTGCACAACTCACCACACTTCAGAGCAGCCAGCCCACTCCACCCCTCAACCCCCTGGGCTAGGTCACAAGCTAGAAGGACCTGTCCTTCTTCATCAACTACCCATACAGCCTTTCTCTGTTACCCAGCCACCCAGAGCTGGACAGCGTTATGACTTTGTTCTTACGACTGCCTGTGCGGCCCTTTTCTGTATTAGCCACTCCAAACTAATTCAGAGTCTCATTGCCCCGCGGGTTCCTTAATCCTCTATCACTGGGAAGACTATTACTTATACTTACAGTTACCCATTTATTACAACCATAAAAGCGAAGAGACGCTTCAGTAAGGTCTAGGAAAGGTCTCAGCATGAGACTTCCATTGTCCCCAGGGACGCGTTCCCCAGGGACATGCCACAGTCTCCAGTGTATGAATGTTCTCCCCACTCCAGGAATCCCAAAAGAGAGTGCAAGATCCAGAGCCCTTACTCATTGGGGCATCAATGCATACGCATGAATCAATGAATACGCATAATTGACTACATCCATACCCGCTCCATTCCTGAGGGTTGTTGCCAGGATGGAGCCTGTGTAGCCTCTACTCATTCACACATGTTTAAGTGTTGCCTGGATGTTTTATAACACAAAAGCCCCTTGACTGCTGGCAAATTCCAAGAGTTATTTTCAGACACCAGAGACAAAAGGCCAAATGGAGTTCTTTGTCCGACACACTCTTACAAAAATATTTAAAATTTAAGACAACAGTATTTTCAAAATGTTTCTTTTTTAAGTATATGAGTACAAAGGAGCCCTAGTGGCATCGTGGTTAAGTGCTCAGCAGCTAATAGAAATGTTGGTTTAAACTCACCAGCCCCTCCAGGGGCTCTGTAAAGATTTGCAGTCTTGGAAACCCTGTGGGGCAGTTCTATTGTCCTATGAGTCAGAAACAAATCGAGGGCAATTGTTTTTTGTTTTTGTTTTTTTTTTTATATGAGATATGAGAACAACACCAAGACGATGAGCACTAAACAACAGAGGTTTTCAACCTCTCCAAACAGTGGATAATCTTCTATGCTTCTTTACTTCTTCTCCTTTATTCAGTTTATACCTGTCTTTCTTGGGATTTTTTTCAGATGGATGATCTGGGTCACTGAGGACAAATGGAAAGGAACAAAGCTGGCTTTGGAAAATTAAGATATGATAACTTCCAAAGTGACAGTAAGCTAAATCAGAAATTCGCTTGGGGTAGACTGTAGATGTATGAAAACTGTATGCAGCTATTGTGTGGACAGTTCCCAACTTTTGAAAAGGTTTTGCTTTAAAAAGTTTACTTATAAGTTGGTTCTTCAGAAACTTGGAGATACATTTTCCTAAAGGATTAATGTGATATTTTCATGGCTAGACTCCGAGGCCAGCCCACAGAAGTCTTCCACCTGACCCAGAACAAACATAAGTAAATATGGTACCAGTAACAAAACAGAGCCTAGTCCCTAATGTAAAACAATCTTTCTATTAGTAAAATCTCCAAACTAGGCTTTTTTGATCCTAGGTAAACTTAATGTATAAGATTGAGTACCAGAATTATGTCTGAAGTAACAAAAGGAACATTTTGACTTGAAGAATATCTCCGTTAATCATTTCTAATAATTCACAAATTAATCTTTTCTTTTTTGTTATACTATATTTTAAAAGAACACTTAACAAAAAATAAACTTTTTAAAAATTATTACCCTTTCTTTTCGGTGTATTATGCTTAGATTTTCTGGTTTCTTCTAATACCTGTTCACCATATTCTGTGATGATCTGAAATTTTAAAAAGAATTTAAAGATGTGAAATACACTTTTCTTTAGACACTGCCATAATGTCATTTAATCATCAACATTCTTCCTCACTTCAATATTTAAAGTTGAAAAATACAAATGCCATTTAAAAATACATATAATTTAGACAGATAGACTTTTATATATGTCTAGAAAAAGATCTGGAAGGATCTGCAAATTGTAACGGTGATTATATTTGGGAATAGCTTTGTGGGAGGGAGAAGAGGAAGTAAAGGAAGTTTTAACTTTTCCTATTTATACACTTCTGCGTTGTTTGAAGTTTTACGAGTTTTTTAAAAAAACAATGAAACCACTTGACCATACACTCAAAAACTGTTCACTGTCAATCCAACATGTATCATACCTCTGGGGGTAGGCACTTCTGGATAAGCGGGGCTAAGCTGCCTCTAGAGAGAAGTGTTGTAGCTGAAGGGCGATGAGAGGGATTCCTTTTAAACATCTGCTTGATTAGATACTGGAGCTCATAGGAATAATGAGATGGCAGTGGACTGATGGACCCTTGGCATATTTTGAGGATAAGATTTTTCCAACTATTTGCCTGAAACTAAGAAGTAAAACTGAACTTTAAAAGCAGATACAGGGAGAGAAAATGGAAATAAGAAAATACCGATTGACCTTAAATACATATAAATTATTTTAATTTTATAAACTTGGCTGTTGCCTTGTCATTTATCTTCCTAGAGGTGTCTAAAATCTTATGATGGTTCAGGAGAAATAATAAAAACCTTTCCCATGTAGAGAAAGTCTCACCATTGCTTTGGGTACATTATTAGTTGTAATCAATGGTTTTGTAGATACACGTTGGTAACACATATTTAAAATCAAAGCAATACATACACATAGCTTTAAAGGAAGTCAAATGATACCACTTATAAGAAGTGTAATACCCTTTTGCTCCACTCCTTCCCAGAAACCCTCCGGCTTGCTCCCTAGTGACAGGCACTTTTGACTTCCCCAGCTTTAAACGTGTACTGCAACTTTTTACTGAAATCATGCATATCATTAAAGTAGCTATTAACATTTGAACCCACGCCATGGCACTTAACAACAACACAAAATTAACATTCGACAAGCAGCAGAGTGGGATATAAAATGACATACCAGAATAATATTTTAAAGTTTTCTGATATAATAGATGTATCAGAGATAATACTAGATGCCAGCCTTGGTAATCCTCATGTAAGGACAAGTTGGCATTCTGCCTTGAAGGTTTATTAATTGCCCTATTGATAAAAAATACAAGTGAAGATACCAAAAGGGAAAAATTAACATATAACAAAGGAAAAGTTCAGGTAGTGAAAAATAAGACTGAATTTGCTTTGTCTCGGGCTTTTAATCATTACGCCAGGGTTCTGTTTCCTGAAGGTCTGCTAACTAATTTTGCTTTAAGGTAGAAAAGAGATAACAGACGGCACCAAATACCAGGACACTATAGTGCTTAGTACTTATTCTCTCTAGAAAAAATAAGAACATGTATATGTAAGCTTGAGAAAAAGGTAAGAATCAGGGAAATAAAGAATATAATCGTAAATTAGATACTGGAAATTTTAAAGTATTTTATTTGTATCTAACAGTGGTTCTCATCTTGGGCTATACATTACAGTTACCAGCCTGGTCAGCCTCAGAGATTTTTATTTAATTAGTCTAGTGTAGGGCCTGGGCATCAGCATTTTCTCAAGTTCCCCAAGTTTTTCTAATTGTTCAGCCAGTGGTACAAGCCATTTATATTTCAGGAAGACCACTTCTCATTAACAGGGCATGCCTTCAGTCTGAGTAACTTTCATCTAGCAGTGCTGAGGGATTTTTCTCAGCCATTACTCTCTTGTCCTTTACGTGCTCTCAAGCACATCTGCAAGAAAGCTGGTAGAGCTGGGTTTCAATCTGTGCCCAAAGAACAGAATTTATTTCTAAGCAAAGCTAAGACCTAATAGAGATCAGCCCTATGATTCTTGACTGTATGTAATAAACAACCACTGAACAAGGACAAGTCATTTAACCTTTTATTTGCTGTTGTTAAATTGTTTCTTAAATTTTTTTGAAAAAAATAATATAAGTAATACAATAAGGCCAAGTCTATTTTCTCATGATATTTCAGTTAGGAAACTCACATGATAAGGGAAATCTAACTGCAAAAAGATAAGTACAGAACTCCAGAAACTAAATAATGGAATTTCCCATTAGTATATACTACTCATAGTATAAAGCAGCGATGATAGCAAATGGAAACATATGAAAACATCTATGATGAATGAATTCTAGGGAAGCACACTACAAATATGAGCAATAGCCTGCCTTTTCCTTTTGTGAGCCATACTTACTGGATGTCGAAGGGTACAGAGTTCATACAGAATGCATCCCAAGGACCAGATATCACTGGAGGCACAAAGAAGCAATGCAATAAGAAACAGGTTGTGAGTTCTATATATAAAATATATATGAAATATGAAAATACTAAATGCACCTATACTAAAATATATGTATTTTCTAATACAAAAAAATGAAAAATTATTATGCCTTTAATAAGAGCAGATTTCAAAACTAATTATGAACTATTAAAATAAAATATATGGTAATTTTGGTAAAACATGTAGATACTTGGTAAGAGTAATGTTCACAAGTTAAACTCTCTGTTGGTTACCAGTGGTTTGGCCAAACACTAGTGTAGTTGCTGTTCCATAACGTAACTTAACAATATAATGTAACTAATTAAATTAAAAGGGGGGAGAGAGGGAGGGAGCAAAGGAGGGAGGAATGGAGGGAGGGACGGATGGGGAAAGAGTTTCATAGATCCCTACCCTTCTTCATACTAAGAATCTTGTTTCCTCTGTCATTCTTGACATCTAGTTGCTGTGCTCCAAAATTTTTCTATATGATATTCTTTTTTATTTTAACTAATGGTTTTTATCAACTGTTTTCCCTCAACTTTTAATTTTTTTAAATTTCAAACTAGAGATAAGTTGTAAATGTCCACTTGCCTTCACCTAGATGCACCAACTGTTAATATCTGCTGCATTTGCATGCTCTCTCCCTCTTCTCTATATATATCTGAACCTCTTAAAAAAAAGGTTATGGACATCAAAACACTTCACTCCTAAACTCTTCAGTATATATCTTCTAAGAACAAGGACATTCTCCCTCATAAATTCAATACCATGATCACATCCAAGAAACTTAACCTTAAGTCAGTAACATTATTTAATATTTAGTCTATATTCAAATTTCCCCAGTTGTCCCAATAAGTCACTTTACATCTGTTTTGCCTCTGATCCAGTCAATTTTACCCTTAAAGGAAGCTATTTAGTACAGACAGTTATACTCTTTTCAGAGAGCAACTCAGCAGAAGGTAATAAGAGCCTTTAGGTGATTCTACTTCCAGGAATCCATGCCAAGAATGTGATATAAAACTATGACAGCTTTATACACAAAATGTGTGTTAATCACAGCACTGTTTATGAAATTAAAAATTGGAAATAACCTAGATGGCCAACAGTAACTTCTGGTACAGTCATATCGTAAAATATTATGCAGCCATTAAAAATACTTATGAAGAGTTTAAATATGTGGGGAAGTAAATATGATATTGTTATGGACTGAATAGTTTGTCTCTCAAAAAATATGTATTGTAAATCCTAACCTCTATGCCTGTGGTTATGATCCCATTTGGGAACAGGTAATCTTTGTTAATTAGGAAGATTAGTATAGGGTGTGTCTTGAGTCAATCTCTTTTAAGAGATTAAAAAAGCAAGCAGAGATAGGGGAAGAGAGATAGCAAGCCACATGAAGATCACCCAGGAGCAGAAGTTCAAAGAGACAAGGACTTTCTCCAGTCCTGGCAGAGAGAGAAAGCCTTCCCCAAGAGCTCCTAAACTGTGAGAAAATAAATTTCTGTTTGTTAAAGCCACCCACTTGTGGTATTTCTGTTATAACAGCACTAGATAACTAAGACAAAATTAAAGTGAAAAAAGTAGGATAGCAAATTGTATACAGAGTGTACCAGCTAGGTTTAGGAGAAAAAAGTGAATGGATAAAAAAACACGAAAATATTAGTAGTTGTGAAAAACGTGGGTGATTTTCCTTTCCTTTCTTATGCATATCTGTATTTCCAATCCTCCCCACCACCCACTCCAACCATGGGCACATACATCTTATATTCAGAAAATATGTAATCTTTTAAATCATAAGATCTTCATGTTATTTTCCTGTAATCAATTAACCTATTAATCAAGTGCTTATTAACTAGTCCTGTAAATCTTAACTCAATGACACAATTCAGTGGTTCCCAAATTTTGCTGCATGGGAATCCTTTGGTGATTCTAAAAAATTACTGACACCTGCCTCCCATCTCCATACACTCTGATTTAATTGGAATGGGGTGCAACCTAGGCTTCCGGATTTTTAAAAGTGGAGCAGCAAAGTTTGGGAACCAGTGATGTAGCTTATACTGCCAGTAGCAATGACAAGCCTATCTTTCAAATTTCCACCATCCGTCAGTTTGTTGTACTGTGGTAGCTTGAATGTTGCTGTGATGCTGGAAGCTATGCCACCGGTACTTCCAGTACCAGCAGGGTCACCCAATGGTGGACAGGTTTCTGCAGAGCTTCTAGACTAAGACAAATTAGGAAGAAAAGCCTGGTCTACTTGTAAAAATAAGCCAATGAAAACTCTATGGATTAGAACAGAATATTGTCTGACTAGACTCAAACATTCCAGTGATCATGAAGATGGCACAGCAGCCAGCAACATTTCGTTCTGATATACATAAGGTCGCCCTGAGTCGGAGCTGACTTTCAAATTTACATTTAGCTCCTCTCAGCTCTGATTAAAACAGTTGGAAAACTATGACTTTCATCTAGAAGCCTGAGAATATAGATTTTACATTGTTTTACAAAGCCAATATGTTCCATACAACTACTTTAAAGGTGGTACCAAACTCCAGCATCATTCTCAGGCTACAATGCCCATTACCAGAGTCACCTTTGCATTAAATATTTCATCACTTACCTTTTATTGTTATAGGGCATGTTTTCCCAAATTTCCGGAGGCACATAATAAGGTGTTCCCACATACGTACAAGCAAATGCCGTGGGACTAAAACCACAAAAAGGCAAAAAGTGGTTACAGAGCATTCTTGAATAATGGATGTTTTCATTACTGCTGCTACTATAGAATAGAAATACATACTTGCAGAGAAGATGAGCAGATCCAAAATCTCCCAATTTTACTTTTCCATTTTGGGTGAGGAAGATATTCTGCATTTAAAAAAAAAAAAAAAAGAGCTCTGTTATATCTTCTACCATTCAAACATAAGGCAGAGGTCTCTGGAGAAGCTGTCTTTCAAAGTGTGCTGATGATAGGGATCAAGGGTAGACACGCTGACAGCTAAGTGCCTGAGTGGAACACAAAAAGAAAGATACCCTCTTGAGGGTTACACCTCCTCTCCTTGGGAATTATGGATGACTGATTAGAAATCTAACAAGTGAGTTTCAGGTTGTATCAGCTGACCCTGATTGACAGACTGGGAACTTGTTTCAGGGTAACTCGACATCGCAGGCCCAGGCTGCAACCATTTTCCATCAGAGAACATACAGGTTAGTAAGTGGTCACTAAAAGAGCTTGGAACATATTACCATGTGCTGCTAAAGACACTTTCAAGACTTTTTGTTAGTGTGCAGAATCAACTTACCAAAAAAAAAAAATGTCCTGTGTTCTTGGTTCCTGAGATATAACCCTTGGAATTTCCTGAGTAACTGAGGTAATCTTAATCTAAACAACACCTGAGAATTTGTGCTAATGAGCAGGGGCTGGCCAGACCAGAAAGACCACCTCATAGCCCAATATCAACTAACCTCAGGAGGCATCAATCATAGTCATGATTAAGGCCGATAAAGGCTCTGAAAACTAAGGCTCCAGGAGCTTCCTGGTTGGTGAAGGGAGAGTGATGCGTCTTCTTTGGGATGTGGAAATTCCACAATGGAAATCCTCCCAGACCTCACCCATGTGTCTCTTCCTTATTATGATCCTGATTTGTATACTTTTGCTATAATAAATCTGTAATCATAAGTATAGTACTTTCTGTGAATTCTGTGAGGAGTAGTGGGAGCCAGCAGGTGAAGGCGAGGGAGCCCAGGGGAGGGCTTCGAGCTTGTGGCTGGCATCCTGAAGGAGTAGTGGAAAACCCCAAATTTGCAGCCAGCAGGTCAGAAGTAAGGGTGTCATGTGGACTCCCAAATTTGCAACTGGTGACTGTCTATTTTGCAGCATGAAGGACAATGTCCTTTCAATTTGTGAGCTCTGACCTATCTTAGGGTGACTAGAGACAGAGAAAGAATGTCTTGTGGGCAGCTGGCGTCAGAGATGACGGAGACATGGGAAAATGAGGATTTGATTAATCTTCACATTTGGGGATTGGACTTATGTTGATTCTTATCCATGAAGTCAGGTAGTATTTTACTTAGCAAGTGTAAATATTAGATTGACAACTATTTCAAACCTAAATAAAAATGTCCAAAAGTAAAATGGAATAATCCATAAAAAAAAGACTGAATAAAATAATTTTTTGTTTTTTTGTTATTTGTTTAAGTCCCTGTGATGGTTAAGATTATGTGTCAGCATGGCTGGGCCATGATTCTCAGTGTTTATATATGATCACTCTCATGATGGAATCTGCTGTGAGTAGTCAATCAGTTGAAAGGGCATTTCCTTGGGGGTGTGGCCTGCATCTGAATATAAGCAGATGTTCTGGCTTTTTTGCTCACTCTGGATCCTGCAGCTGCCTCCTGTTCATTTGCCCTCCGGTTCTTGGGACTTGGGCTATCAGCTTATCTACGGATCTTGGGATTCGTTGATCTTCACAGCCTGTGAGAAGGAGCCCTGCTCTCTGCCCTGCTGATCTCAGGTTTGCCAGCCCCTGCAGCTACATGAATCAAGAGAAGCCTCTATGCTGATTCACGGACTTGGAACACTGCGGCCTCTACAATCACATGAGTCATTTCCTTGATATAAATCTCTCTCTATATATATATTTATACACTTTATTGGTTTTGCTTCTCTAGAGAACCCAGCCTAAGACAATCCCTACAATATATTCCACTTACCTTGGACTTGATATCTCTATGTAAAACACGTTTCTTGTGAATGTGATTTACTCCAAGGCACATTTGTGTAAACCAATTAAGTATCTATAAGAAAAAAGTAAACAAAATCTACAACAATGTAATAACTGGTTCATGTTAACCCAAAATTCCAAAGAATCATCTCCAGGCCTTAGGTCGACCAGAGTATTACATAATTTAAGTGCAGAACTCCTGAACATTGCATAGTTTAACTAAGATTCAGCATTGCCTAGAGAAATTCAGAAAAGCTCTAAATCTCAGGTTCTCTCATCTTATGTATCATACAAAGGGCAATTTATTTTAATAAAACTTCTATCAGGAAACCCTGGTGACGTAGTGGTTAAGAGCTACAGCTGCTAACCAAAAGGTTGGCAGTTCAAATCCACCAGGTGCTCCTTGGAAACTCTGTGAGGACTCCGGCAAGATGGCGCTCTAGGCAGAAGCACCACGCCGTCCCTCCACAACAAAGATCCTAAAAACTAAGCCAAACAGAAAATCAACAATCCTGAAACCCTAGAACATCAAATGAAGAGATAAAGAACTCAGCCGAACACCAAACGGA